GACTCGACTCGATTCGACTCTACTCTACTCTGGTCTGCTCTTCTTTAAACTACGTTACTCTAGTTTGATCTACGCTAGTATATCCCACTTTACTGTACTTTATTCTACTCTATCTTACAGTATTCTACTCGGCTCTATCCTTCTGTATTCTCCTCTACTCTATTCAACTTTACTCTACTCTACTTACCTTACTTAAATTTGCTTCACTTTACGTTACTTTATTTTACTATACTATACTGCTGTCAGCTCTATTCTTTTCTACCCTAAGGTACTCTACTTTACTTTATTCTGATCTGCTCTATCCTACTTTACTCTACTGTGCGTTAGATCCATTGTTTACTTTAATCGATTAATCTCTACTCTACTCTACTCTTCTCTACTCTACTCTTCTGTTCTCCTCTCTACTCTACTCTTCTTTTCTCTACTCGACTCGACTCGACTCGACTCGACTCGACTCTACTCTACTCGACTCGACTCGACTCGACTCTTCTCTACTCTACTCTACTCTACTCCACTCCACTCCACTTTACTTTACTCTACTTTATTATAAAATCAAAAAGCGAAGTAAGTAAAATTACAAAAGTAATTTTACTTACTTTGCTTTTTGTTTTTCTTTTTCTCTAAGATGTCGATGAGTGTTTCCCTAACCAGATATCTGATGAATATCTTCATTTTGCTCACAACTGTCATGCTGATGCCAACTGTTCCAACACTAATGGATCATTCTACTGCACGTGTCATACGGGATACTCAGGAGATGGAGTCGTGTGTTTGGGTAGGTCTTTCGTATCCCGTTTTGTGCCATCTTTTACTAATTTGCGAACTTATTTATATGTTTTGATTATCGTTACTCTTTTCTTTTATTAAGACATCAACGATTGTAACCCATCTGGATTGTCATCGGAGTATCAACACTTGGCTCACATTTGTCATGATGATGCTAACTGTACAAACACAAAAGGATCTTACCACTGCGCATGCCTGGACGGATACTCTGGCTTAGGAGAATATTGCACAGGTACAGTTCTAGTGTTGATTTAAGTAGGGAAGGTAGACATGGCGATGGAATTGTATAGGAGTGACATTAAACTAGCAGGATGGTTTTGTTAGGATAATAATCAACATCATTAATATTAATAATAGCAATCAGTTCCAGCCACTAATAATTGAGCCTGATAAGTCAATGAAGTTTGTTATAGGATCACTACTGTTGATTCGAACCTGGACCTGTGCATATTAGCCGGTTCTCACTCCAGAATAGGAAAGGGCAGCTATGACTCGATTTGCTCGCTAATTCTGTGGAATATGCTTTTTCTACAATAGATATCGACGAGTGTACATCTGGCACACACAACTGTCATGTTGACGCCAACTGCACCAACACCAAAGGATCATTCTACTGCACGTGTCATACGGGATACTCTGGAGATGGAGTGCTTTGCGAAGGTGAGCTTAAGTACTTTAGGCTGTATAAGATCAGGTAAATACATGTTACAAATATTCAGAATCGGTGGTAAACTAACGCACCTAATAAGTCAGTACAGTGTGTGAACACAGTCAGCGTCATGATGCAGCTCTGTTTCAGGCCACGCTCAAGTTTCCTTGTTCCTATTTTTATTCAAGCTCTTGCTGGTCAGGGTCATTTTCGTACATATAGAACGTTTAATTTTGCACCAAGGAACAAAGCCGGGATTGTCTATTTCGCCCTTATTTCCATTTCATTGTTGAAATTTAAATAGTTGTCTGTAGTGTCTGGTAGAAAACGTTTACAACAACTGGCATTAATCTGAAACGGTTTTCCCAACAGCACACGAAATTTTCCAACCAACTAAAGAAATGAAAACGAACCTGGCCGAACAGTTGCCAACAGTGTGCAACCGAAAATGCCCGCCATTACCTTGAATGCGTCTTTTGGTATCTTTAAGCAAATGAATCAACGCCTGGCCATTGCAGTTGATAAGGTTATTTGAAAATTTAAGTACTTTTGGTTGAAAATAGCCGCCTCTCCTGTCAGGGTCTTTGATTACGGTGCATGCATTTTTGTCTAAAATCACCTTTTCTGGGGTAGAAACGACAGTTTATTTCCCTTTAAATTTACAAGAGAAAAGCACCTGAAAGTTACTAACATTCAACATTTATAGGTACGCAATATGCTTTCTAGATCTGTTGTAATTACATTTTAGATATCAGCGAATGTCAAACTGAAGCCCTCGCACCTCATCACAGCAATTATGCTCATAATTGTCACGACGATGCTAACTGTACCAACACCAAGGGATCATTTTACTGCACGTGTCACCATGGTTACTCAGGAGATGGTGTGATTTGTGCCGGTAAAGAAACACCTTTAATATGACATTACTTGATCCGCGCAAGTAACGTGAACAAGGTCACTTTTTCACGTTTTTAATTGAAATCTCTTCAAGTTATGACCATGTTGAAAAAATTCCTGCATCAGGATACATCAGATATCCACAGTCATAGTTACAACTTAGTATAATTTGACCGCTAAATCATAGTTCCTTCTGTGGCAATCCGGGGTAACTGGTAAAAAAAAAGGGGTTGTAACGTTACCTCCACATAACTCGTTGAATCCTCCAAACATTTTTGTATACAAAGCTCTTTTATTGGAAAGTGATTACTGAAAATTAAAGAGTGATTGCTAATGAAAGGGTGAGCGTAATGTTGTCTTGTATCGCTCCAAGTGAATGTAGACGACAATATATAGTAAAATCACCACCGCTGGAACCTGCTATTTCCCCAAAACATAACTGACTCTAAATTTGCGCGAAAAGTAACCACTATACGAAACTATCCTTTTTTTTTCTTGTCAGACGTGAACGAATGCTTTCCTGGTCAGATATCTGATGAATATCTTCATCTTGCTCACAACTGCCATGTTGATGCCAACTGTACCAACACTAAAGGATCATTCTACTGCACGTGTCTTAATGGTTATTCTGGTAATGGAGTGGCTTGTGTAGGTAGGTGATTCACCTGAATAATCCGTCGTCATCCCAAGGAGACTGATGTAACTTAACATATTCACAGCGGCCTTACCCAACCGAGTGTAAGATTCCACTGACATTTTGATTGAAAATACAACTGTGGTCTTATGGAGAAACGTGCTCCAGGAAACGTCAGCAACCTTGCTCTCCTCTAAACTGAAAAACAAAAAGTTTGCAAGCAATTTAAAGACTATTTAAAAATTAAACCTTAATTATGTGACTAAACCACGTGAATGTTTAGATTCTACCGTGTATTCCCTTCTTGTGTGAAGAAATGTGTTGATGTACGTTTTAGTTTGAAGTTCCTGGAGTATGTAAAATTCCATTAAGGCAATTATCTTACCTGCCTTTCCCTGGGATCGGTTCACATGCGTGACCCAAACACGCAAACAAAAGCGCACACAAGCAAAAGCACACGCTGTGAAGGAAATAAAAGGTTCTCTGTTACGCTCGGGTTAATGCTTGTGTTGCACCTCCCTGCAGCTGGATTGGACGTACTTGTCTTGCATTTATCTTCATGGTTACAGAAGGCACGAGAAGTTGTCTGACTGCGGTTTTAGCGCCCTTACTCCCTGTTTAGTATCCTCGCTTACCCATGCAATGAATTTAAAAAATATATATTTACGACAATGTTTTTAAGCATTATTCCCTATTACGCACGATTGTTTATAAGAGCACGCACATAGTTTGGCATGACTATCCCGTTCCATTCAGACCGCAAGGCATATGATGCTCTTGGCAACAATTTTGGCCCATAGCCTTTCCTGCATGGCCGGTAATTTGAAATAGGTAGGTCAAGTCGGGGTTCGAGCTTAGTGGCTCATCAGACCGACTCTATTTCCGGTTTTCGGTTGCACGAAGCGACCAGGAATATTTCTACGGTACCCATATATACACCTGGGCGAAGATAGGTTTCATAGTACCTGGCCGAAAAACACCAAACATTGATCCCAGCCAGGGCTCAATAGGTCACGATCCGGAGCGCAGCGTTAGGCCACCGCGCCAGTCACTAGGTAATCTGAAATACTTACATTGTATTGGATTCCAGCTGTGTGTGTTTCCGGGATGTTATGTTGATATTCCTTAGTTTTTGTTGTAATATTGGTTAGTGATAAGGTGAAGGTGATGAAAGAGTAACTAAAAAGCATTTCCAGCATGCTTTGGGACCGTGGAAGGCCACTAGACCCCTCTGGGTTCAAAATTTTCCTACCCATATTGTCAGGGTTTGGATCCCGCTATTGCTTGTTACATGTAAGGGCATCTTTGCTGTTGCCACTTGTGCGCTGCTCTGTCTTCAAGTTTTTGTGGTAGGTTATCTTCATGCCGAGTTTTTTGTGTTTCACATTGTGCTTTGCACTTTGCTGGTTTCAGTAACTTGAAAAAAAGAGAGCGGTTGGAACCAAGTGCACGCAACCAGATAACTCGATATTCCACCATCAGGTTTCGTTGCTTTCAGTAGAAGGCATGTTTCCTCCTGCCACAGCCACCGACCACAAATTGCTTTGCATTGTTTAATGGAGTGCGAGCAAGACCGGTGTGAATTGCATAACGATATGTTAATACAGTTTCTCCAGAGAAGAGTTCTGGAAAGCCTGATCCATATTTGATTTTACGGACATCCAAATGTGTTAGTTTTTGTAATAAATAAGCACAAGCAATTTTTTAAAGGTTGACAAATTGTATTGTGGCAAATACAATCTGTATTTCTTTCAAAAACTTTATTGTGCTTATTTATTCAAAATAGCACAAGGACCTTATTATACTATTGCGACCAATATGGTTATCTGGTTATCTTGAACAGAATTTCGAAAGAGCTAGCAAGAGTCTTCAGTAAAGAAATTTATTCCTTTCCTTTTCAGATATCGAGGAATGCGAAAAAGAAATAGATAATTGTCACGTGGATGCAAACTGTACCAACACCAGAGGATCATTCTCCTGCACGTGTCATACGGGATACTCTGGAGATGGAGTCATGTGTGATGGTACTGTAATCTACTGTTTTATTAAACGTTTTATGTTACAACTGATCCAATATTGATGCACCCTTGTCCTTATGACCCAGTTATTGAGACCTTTATGTTGTCACCCACTGTAGGAAATATTTCCTTCTTTCTTTTTTCTTACAGACATTGAGGAGTGTTTTCCTGGTCAGATATCTGATGAATATCTTCAACTTGCTCATGATTGCCATGCTGATGCCAACTGCACCAACACCAAAGGATCATTCTACTGCACGTGTCATACGGGATACTCTGGGGATGGAAATACGTGTGTTGGTAAAATGATTGCTCCTTACACAAGACTAATTATAGTTTTATGAATAAATACAAAACGTTTAAGATGTATAGCGTCCATTAAAATATTTGGTGATTTCTGCTTTTTGCTTTTTCTTAGATGTGGATGAATGTTTTCCTGATCGGATATCTGATGAATATCTTCATCTTGCTCACAACTGTCACGTGGATGCCAACTGTACCAACACTGAAGGATCATTCCATTGCACGTGTCATACGGGATACTCTGGAGATGGTGTCGTGTGTCTAGGTATCACTTTCCCATGGCATTCCATTGTTTTTATCATCTTAGCGAGGGCCAAACAAACTTAAATTAACTTAACTAAAAAGCTCAAAGCACTGCGAGATACAAAACGTTTCTGACAAAATGAAAACCCTTTTTCTAAGTACCGTACGTTTTTGTTGGTTTAAGATTGCACACGTGAAAAAAAAAGAGTAAATATTTAAAAAAGCATGGACTTATAACCACTTATTTACCTTTCGTTTAAAAGACATCAACGAATGTGACCCATCTGGATTATCATCTGAGTATCAACACTTGGCTCACATTTGTCATGATGATGCTAACTGTACAAACACAAAAGGATCTTACCACTGCGCATGCCTGAAGGGATACTCTGGTTCAGGGGAACACTGTACAGGTAGAGTTACAAGATTGCATTTTTAGCAGAAGGAGTGGGCAGTAAGAGATAAGAGTACCACTTTATTCAATAAAACAAATCAAGCCTCCAACTTGGTATATTATCTTTTCTCGATTACTGGGACGTACGTGTCAAAAGGCTAGATGTGAGTTAAATAATGTGCATAGCTTGTTCCTGGAAGTCAGAATGCTGAATAGCAAACTGAGGAGAGGGAAGATAGATTCATTGTAACTGAGAATGATGACGAATTGAGAAGATGGTAATACAATTCTTGAGAGTATCTACAGGTACGGTCGTCAAAATGATTTTGATATTTTGTCTTCACTAGACATCGATGAATGTGCTTCTGGAACCCATAATTGTCATTCTGATGCCAACTGTACCAACACCAAAGGGTCATTCTACTGTACCTGTCATACGGGATACTCTGGAGACGGAGTCACTTGTAATGGTAAGCTGTTCCCACCGTTTAAAGGAGTTTATGTTTGAGCGTTATATGTTAGCTGATGACAATTAAGTACCGTAAATACCCAGTATCGTGGAAAAGTATTCCAATCGATTGACAACCATTCGAGCCATTCTGCTTCCTTATACTGCACTATTCTGGGCTCCACCATTTTTCAAAAATTACAAATAAGTTAAAAACTGTATCTTGGCGTATGTGTAATTGCACCAGTACCTATTGTCGGAGATACCTGCCTTGGCCTTAGCCTCTCAAAAACGTTTTCGCACTAAATTAAACTCTTCTTCCGATCTATGGGGAATCAATTCTGTGTGGACAGATCATACTCTCAATTGAAGCATTAGTTACAGTTCAAACCAAATGAAAGGTAACAAGAATTTTTAATTAAAATCACAGATATAAGCGAATGTCAAACTGAAGCCCTGGCGTCTCATCACAGCAATTATGCTCATAATTGTCACGACGATGCTAACTGTACCAACACCAAGGGATCATTTTATTGTATGTGTCACCATGGTTACTCAGGAGATGGTGTTATTTGTGCAGGTAAAACAAAATAGCTTTCATTACTGAAAGAACACCTGTCCATTTCGAACACTTCCTGCCTGCTTTTAGCCTCTAATTGTAAAAGCCTTAGATGTCTTAGATGAGGAAATGAGTTTAATCAAATGTTTGTTTTATCCGTTCATGTTGACGTTTTTTCTCTGTAACTCACTCCGAGACAAGCCGAAAAATTGGCCTTATGTAACTATATGCAGTTATTTTCCTTAGCATGAATACGATATTTGTTCATAGACACTGCTTTAAATAACTGCGAAATCTCTCTGCTTAAAATTCACTAGATTAAACAGTTTAACACATATTTTGTTTAAAAAACCGATTCGTAGCTAAGCTTTCAAAAGCGAATATGCTTTATCCTGGTATCCGTAGCTATGTTTAAAACTATTGGTTTTGGTCTTTTCAGAAGTGAACGAATGTTATAATCAAAACGAGTCACTTAAATCAAATTGCAGATATCAACGAATGCCGATCGGACGACCTCGCGTCAATCCACAGTCACTTCGCGCACAACTGTCATGTTGATGCTAACTGTACCAACACTAAAGGATCATTCTACTGTACGTGTCTTAATGGTTATTCTGGTGATGGAGTGGCTTGTGTAGGTAGGTGATTCTCGCCAAAGAAGCTTCGTCATGCCACCAGCGTTATAAGTAAGTCAATCACTTTTCAACGTTACTTCAACTGTTCTCAGGTGTCCCAGCGATAACCTTGTAGAATGTAACCTCGTGCCTCGGAATCGTGT